GAGATCATTGTTTTTGGGTCTTTTCTCAAAGTGCCGGCCAACAAAAAAAAAGAAATTGGTACAAATTCTTAGAACTAACCATTTGGAGCAATAGTTAATAATGGCGCAAAAGTTGTAGGATCCAAGATATAGAAGTTATACAAGTTCTATGACTCATCATTTTCGTACATTTATTTTTCTGAAAGTGCCAGGAAACATAAAATAGTGATTGATATTGCTAGAGTTAAGCTGCTTAAGCAAATCATTATAGCGAGAAAGCCATAATCTGTTCTCTTGTACATGTTAGAAACCTGTAATTTTTTATGTAATACTAGCGAACCCGACAGACGTTGTTCTGCTCAGTAATCTGAACGCATTCAACACAATTTGGTTGTTGTTGGTTTTATTATTTGTCTAAACTAATATGTATATCGGGGTGCTATTTCTATATATTAAAACAACGTTATATAGTATTGTATTGTATAACTAAAAATATATTTTAGGACAATATAAGTAAAACACAAATACATATTTTTTTTTCACGTATTTTCGATTTACGTATTAAACTGACTAAAGTAAATAAAATGAGTTAAATAAAATCTTATTTACAATGTCGCAGTTTTTTTTTTTTAGATTTAACTGTCTTATATTTTTTTTTTTTTAATTCATATTGAGTTTTCAACCTTCTGATAGCATTGGGACGGATTCTATGTTGAAAGTTAAAGATTTGTTTAATTATGTATACAAATATGTACTTAAAGAGGGCGAAATAAAGAGAACTACTTTCTTATTAATTTTTATTTAGTTTTATGTGTTTGATGTTTTTTTATTTCTTTTAATTTTTTAATATTTCGTCTTACTTTTCTTTTCTTATATAGATACATACATATGTATGTTTAGCTTAAAGATAGTTTCTTCAAAATAACACCAGTTCAATTTTCTTTCACTTTTTATTTATAAAAACTTACAAGATTTTGTATTGCCACACATTATTTTTATTAGACATTGTCAAATAACTTGAAGACATTTATAGATAATTGTAGTTTTAGCTGAAGGCTACGCATTCGGTTATATTTGATTATACATATATTAATTCTTTGCAATAATAAATAACTACATACTTGCAGACTAAGGAGTATTTTGTATTTAATATATTTTTTTTCTATTACATAAGTGACAATGGAAAAACAAATGAAAGTGCTTTTTATTGGTAAATAGAATAAAAATGATTACAAAGAATCAAATAACGAGGGTATTTCAGAGAAAACAATGCTATTCAAATTTATTACATATTTATACATAGAAATAGACTAAGCGTTAAGCAAGTAGTGTCTTCCAGAACCTAATTTTCAGACAATCCCAAGTTTCGGCTTTTGATCTAATCTTAATTTTCTTTATATATTTTTTTTTAATTACATAGTGTTTATTTATATATTTTTTTGTATTATATTATAATTTATTTGTATTAAAATTCAGAGAGTTAACAGGCCCTTAGTTTAAGAAATAATGAGTTTTCTTAGCAATTTTGTTGGTTTCATTAGAACACTTAAATCTTGTTTATCCAACGATATCATACAACACAAAAAAAAAATTTTTCTTCTACAACAGTATGGTGTGTCTTCGGTTATTCCGTTTTTCCCTCACTTGGCCATTCAAAGTGTTGCAAAAAGTATTAACTGAGACTCTTTCTTCGATTTAATATAATTGCTTTGGTGGTATCTATCAATATTCTCGAAAATAACAAGATCTTCACATTTACACGGTACTCCACAAACCTATTTGTTTTAAATCTATTGAAAAAAATTTGCTCAGTGTACAACTGACCAAATATAGACCACATTATGTTCCGTTATTATTTCAAACACTATTTTTGGCCTTTGTATGAAGAACTACCATCACAGTAGACGTCCCATCCATAGACTGTGTGTTAACTTTATCGGACTCTACGAATAGTAAGAGACGATCCCATTCACCCTTACTGATAACGATACTTCACTTTATTTTGTGACCAAATTACCTACTAGTTATCAATCAATTAATCATCAATATGGCAATACAAATACATTGAATTAAGATATTAATAATCTTATATGGATTGTAGGGAAAATATTTGAAGTCATTATTCATCATAATCAATCATTCATAAAACTAAATTTACTATAAGTTTTTTAAAATGTCGTTTTTTTACTATAATGATACATACGTATGAAAAACAATACATAATCTGAAAGGATATTTTGTATGTTGGCCTCCAGACTAGACATATTTATATATACGCGAATTTTTTAAAGAGCTATGTGATAATAGAGCTTACGGTTCCTTCGGAAATCAACTTCTCAAAAAGACCATGCCTTCAAGGTTAATAAGTATAAGGAACTCATTAACAAACACTTTAGAAATAGGTTGTACGCGTAGAAGTGGGAGCAAAGTATAACGTCATCGATTTGTACGCGGTAGAAGTGGGAGCGAAATGTATAACAAGCTTAACCTCTCTACAAACAATTAAAAGACTTGTGGGTCTGTCCACGAGTAATTTAACAAGCGTTAAAAAAGGAACCCCCTAAACTTACACCTGGGTCGCAAGTCCATGGCACTGTTAGAGCTCCTCTCCCTGTAATGCGATGCACTCGGTACCCGTACAAAAAAAAATCCATTGTATGCTAATTTTTGAGTTTGAGTTTTTTCGAATTTCTCCTATATTTCTGGTGGTCTTATCACATGCAAATAGACTTTTAAGTACGCCGAGACTTAATTACTGTTAAGTATGATTAGACCTAGTTATTACCACGTAGGTCACCATTAGGGGTCGTAATTTAAAAACAGTCTGTTGATTTCGGCCTCTGCTGGTTTCTCATATGACATTTTCTTGGAATTTACTGTCCCCAGGTCAACATTTCTTTCACCTTTTAATTAGACCTTCAACTCTGACTCCAGTATCTAATCTTAACAAATTTATGAAATTAAATTACCTCACGAATTTATAATACGCGGTATATAAAAATGTTTTAAGATCACCTTGAGTAACTAATTCAGAAGTGGAAAGACTGCTTTATTGCTATTTTCAATGGGCAGGTATGTAGTAATCTCATTTAAATTAAATATTTTATCATTACTTCAACATGGTTTGAAGTTGGTGTCAATCCCTAAATAAAGTAAAACTTAATTTCTGCTTAGTGACAGTCTCGTAGTCATCGTCATCAGCCTATCAGAGCCCACTGCTGAGCAAAAGCCTCTTTCTCAAATGGAGAAGGTTTAAGCATTTATCACCACGCTTGCTCAAGACGGGTTGGTGACTTCAAATTTATACATAATTGTGGAAAATTATAAGTCCAGGTTTTCTCCACGATGTTTTCCTTCACCGTTTGTTAGTAGTGTTTAAATACTCTTTGAAAGTACATATGAATCAGTAAAATCACATTGATACTTTCATATATATATATATATATATATATATATATATATATATACACTCGTGTATGAGAGGCGGGCCTTTAACCGTTAGGCCACTGCTGACTTAGTGACAGCCTGCTTACTGTAAAAATAACCAGAAGTCGTAAACCTCTTTGTATTTCGGAGGCTTATAAATTTCTAATTTTTTAAGTGTCAATGAAGATATCAAATATTTTCGCGTGTAATCTTCTATCTAAGGTTTCGTTTATTACTTTTTATTTTTTATTTTGCAATTACTTAACTTCGAGTTTTCGATTCTTTTTGCAGCAAACGTGATCACTGGCAAACGAGAATTTTCTTTATTTGGTATTGACAGATAGACAGACAGATAGACAGATAAATTGAATGCATTTATAAATAAATATGCCTTGCGCAGGCTTTGATTCCTTAAGTTATTGCATAAATTAAGTAATTATGGTAATAAATAACTGCATACTTGCATGCTAATAAGGATTTTCTATTAAATTGTACCTTTATATAATTTAAAATATATTGTAGTATTGTAAACACATCAAAAGTACTGACAAAACATATTTAGGTGTTTTTTTATTTTATTGAAATATTTTTTATCTACAAGCCAAAAGAATGAATGTTAAGGTTGAGCAAAAATTTAACAGATATAAAATTTGTTTGATAAACGTAAAGAAAATAGTGTCGCCCTAAACAAAATCTTTCGCTCAAATTAAACTTTCAGCCCTTTGTCTAACCTATTTTTTTTAAATATTTATTTCACTTTAAAATGTAGTGTTTTTTATGTGTGTTTATACATATAGGTCGATAACAGCTTTTAGTTTATAAAATCTTGAGTTTCTTTAGCAAATTTAGGGCACTATAAAGTCAAACTAACAAATTATGTTAGATTTGAACGTCCAATTTTATGATTATGATTTTTCTCTCTTATTAGTCAATTCTCTCATATAATGTTATATCCCAATGTTATATCCAGCTTAAAGGACCATAACGATGTATGGGTTTTTGGTATCACACACCATTTAGATTTGATAGTTTTATGGTGACCAGGTAGTTTATGAGTATCGCTTTTAGGTAATGAGAACGACCTGTTCATTTGAACGCTTTATTGATACTGAGTCAATTATAACAATGCTTACATATATACATATTTGCTTATGAATGTGTACATATAATGAAATCATGTTAATGTATGGGTCCGCGCGCGCCTCATAGTTAAGGTTTTATGACCGGGTGACGGGGCCCGCCTGACCATCTGGCGGGTCAATGCCTGTCGGGGAGGTAGCGATGAATGCTTCGGCGATACCCACCTCTCCGGCACACGGGTAGATGAGGCACACGGGTTGGTTTTCGGATTTTCCAACCCGACACCAAAAAAAAAAAAGGGTGAACCCATACACCCCACGATTAGTTGCACTACTAAGTCATAATAATTCGCTTAGATATTAAAAAAATTTCGTATCTAAGTTTTATATCAAATGAAAAAAAAGACTTTTGGGATAGTATTAGATTTTTGGGAAGTATCAAAAGAAGTTATGTTTCTGAATTCAGTTTTTATTAATATTTCTAATTATTTAATCAAAAATCATCGCAAGGCATCTCTATGTTAGCAGATTAGATGGATCGGATCCATGAGTTGTAGGATGTGACTCTAGCGAAACCGGCGGGGTGTCCACGAGTGCACCCATCACGATGACCGAAAGATACAAAACTCCGATCTGTAACAAAGTAGAACAATATTATTTAGAGACAATGGGAATAAAACAGCAAGTAGAAAAATAAAAAAAAAACTCAGTTGTATATGCAAAAAAACTTTACAAAATCTCATACCAATGTGTTACTAATAGCCAGGGGACCACCGGAGTCTCCTCCGCAGGTACTGCGTCCGTTGGGAGTAGCAACACAGATGATAGACGATCCAATCATGTTTCCGTAAGTACGTCTGCACACGTCATTGGTAATAACTTGCAAGTTTACGTGTCTCATGGTCGAAGACGCTCCAGAACCTGAAGTATATAAATGTTTCTTATTCATGTTTTCCAAAATATTATTATGTATAACTACGAAAAAACATCAGAAAACTAAACTGTCGCTGGTTTTGCCGAATCCTGAAGCCGTGGCCCATGATCCAACGTATTGGTTGCTTCCGCTTGCTAGGCCAATGTTCCTAATGGTATCTGTAATTGATGGAGTACCACAAAATGATGTAGAGATTTTTTCAAACTATTTTCTATTTTATTTGAGCTTGATTTTTATGCAATTCTCAAACTTGAACATTACTTACTGGAGTAGTTAACGCGGTTGATGATGATCACAGCAACGTCATTGGCAAGAGTCCAGTCGTTGTAACTTCCATGTACACGGACATTGCGGGTAGTGATACGAGTACCGCCAGAGTAAAAGATTGACTGAGCCAAGAACGACGTTAAATTCACGAGCTTGGGCACCACCAGAATACCAGCAGTGAGCAGCTGTCACCAATCTGGTGTTACTGATCAGAGAGGCACCACAAACTGACTGTCTGCCGTCAAACTAATCTGATAAGTAAACCCGCCTGTAATATTGTAAGATATTTTTGTATATTTTTTCCTCGAATGGCAGTCTATAATAAATGTGAATATGTATTTATTACTTACTTGGTAAGGAAATTGACCAAGTGAAGCAGCGCTTCCTCCTGTGATCCTGCTGCCGTCGAAGTCAGCTGATTCTTCAGCCTGTTTGATACGAGCAGCTTCGAAAACACCAATGGTGTTGTGGTAGTCATTGGTGATAGGTAGTTCAGGCTCGAAGGCTGAAACAGCCACGGCTAGACCGACGACAACCAGGAGGAGTTTCATGTTGACTGAAAGTCGCTACACAATGTAACTGACTACATGTTTAGTTTTTATACTAAAGAGTATCTAATCAACAAAAAATAATTGTCATTTTAATTAATATTTGTAACATATCAGTATCTCAATCGTCTAATACTTTTATCAGTTGTAACAGATAATTGATTACTGTAGTAAGAAGTTTAATTTTAATTCTTCTCTTGTCAGATGGTTGTCTTTTTGTTTAGTTGCAATACTAGCCTTACAAACATTTTTCGGATTACACTGTTTTTATTGATAAAATTACTTATTCTGTATCATTGGTGTTCAACGTAGGAATAATTATTATCATTATCCTGAAGCAAATTATCAAGCCCATATTCCAATTTTTTGTTGTCCAATTTATTCAAATTTACAGAAACATGTTGTGTAATATTTATTTCATATGTTAATAAACATTGTTTGAAATTCGTGATGAAATGTTTAAGTCAAGAAACTGGTTTTATTGACTATGTGGAAAGTAGAATAAATATTTTAAATTGCTATTAAATTACGCTGATATACCAAACAAACTATTTAATTAGACAAAAAATTTTCATTTTCAAATTTTTTTAAAGTCTAATTTTCTTTTCTTAATATCACATAAATGTCTTTAAGTTTAAAATAATCTCATTCGAAAAGCAAAATAACTTTGTAAATTTGAAAAGAAATTAAAACTAATATTTATGATATTAGCGGATTTCAAATTTATGCACATATAAGCTAACTATGTAACCTAAGCAAACTATGTAATCTAATTGGGCTGAGAGAGATATGTAAAACACTACACTAGCTAACTAACTTGGAGTGATATATGTAGTCTATAGAGGTACTTGGAATGTTGGGATAATTATATATATAGCTATGTTCAGACATCATAACTCAGGTTATTACCTGTATCAAGCTATATCTATTCAAAAGTTTCATTAAAATACATATAATACTTGAAATCGTGAAAGTGCGACAAACATCCATACACCCGTAAACCCTCGCAAACTTTTGCATTTATAATATAAAAAGAATAATTAATATGCTTTTTTTTAAATACCATAACAACAAATTATAACCAATCTCATGTATGATTGCTAATAATTAATACAAACATCTAATGAATACCACACAATTTGCCTGCTGTTCGTCTTTCTTAATTTTTTTCGAATTTGAAGAAGCTTTATGATTAAAAAAAAAATATATAAACTATAAAAAGAATTCAATATTTATTCATATTCCAAGCAATTGACCAAACTGTCATCGCAAGGCATCTCCATGTTAGCAGATTAGATGGATCGGATCCATGAGTTGAAGGATGTGACTCTAGCGAAACCGGCGGGATGTCACGAGTGCATCCATCACGATGACCGAAAGATACAACTCCGATCTGTAACAAATAGAAAAATATTATTAAGAGACAATGTAATATAATATATATAATAAGAAAAAAACCTTTCAGTGGTAAATTAAAAAAAAAAAAACTTCAAAATCTCATACCAAGGTGTTACTAATGGCAAGGGGACCACCAGAGTCTCCTCCGCAGGTACTGCGTCCGTTGGGAGTAGCGACGCAAATAATGGAAGCAATAATGGTGCTTCCATAAGTACGTCTGCACACGTCGTTGGTGATAACTTGCAAGTTCACATGCCTGAGGCTTGTAGATACACCAGAATCTGAAGAATATAGAAGTTTGTTATTTTTGCTTTCTAAATAAATATTAAAATTTACGATATAAAACCATAACAAAAACTCACTGTCAGCATAACGGCCGAAAACCTGAAGCAGTAGCCCATGATCCGACGTACAGATTGCTTCCACTTGCGAGACCAATATTCCTAATGTTGTCTAGAATAAAATAAAAACATATTGTAAATATGCGAAATATTTGGAAGTGCTCATACCAAGGGTCCTTATATCAAATAAATTTACTCACTGGAGTAGCTAACGGAGTTGATGATGATGACGGCAATGTCATTGGCAAGAGTCCACATGTTGTAGCTTGGGTGTGGGCGGACATTGCTGGTGTTGATACGAGTACCACCAGAATAAAGATTGACTGTGCCAAGAACAACGGTGAATTGACGAGCTGTAGCACCAAAGGTAACCCAGCAGTGAGCAGCCGTAACCAATCTGGTGTTGCTTATGAGAGAAGCACCGCAAACCGATTGTCTCCCGTCTTGCAATCTGATAAGAAGACCTGCCTGAAGTATAATAAAAAGATTAAGAATGTTGTCATTTGAATAACAATGTAAAAATATGGGAATTAAAACTTACTTGGTAAGGGAATTGTCCAAGTGATGCAATATTTCCTCCTGTGATCCTGTTGCCGTCAAAATCGGCAGCTTCTTCAGCCTGTTTGATGCGAGCAGCTTCATAAACACCAATGGTGTTGTGGTAGTCATTGTTGATGGGTTCGTAGGCTGAAACAGCCACGACTAGACCGACGACAACCAGGAAGAGTTTCATTTTAACAGAAAGTGGCTACCTACTGTGTCTGAAACTGCAGTGTGCAAATTTTTAAAGGGACGAGTATCTTATCAATGAAGATGATTCCGTTGATTAGATATTAATTATAATTTATGGTATAAATATTGACATTTATATAATTAGTCGTAATTCCGACTCGTGCTAAGATTATTATGTTCACGCATTTCTTAGAAGCATTTAATAATTCACTTTAATACAGTATTCTGTTCCTTGATTTACACTTTATATTACGAGGTATTAAATGTGATACTGAAAGGGTCTTTGAAGGGTTATATATTATTCGGTATGTTTAAATGAAGAAAATTATTGGATTTATAGTTCTTTTGTATTAAGTGCAAAACCAATAAATTCCTGTTAAGTAATTAAAAATCATGACTAGCTTTTAAAAAAGTGACTTTGGAGATACGTTCACAATTTTATTTGTGAATAGTGAATATATATTTAATAAAAATATTCATGCAAGTTTTAAGTTTTAACACGATATATAAACTGAAACAATGACGAAACGTGTTGCGCTTTGCAATGTGGTAGTAGCAATATGAAATAACGTAACAATAGTTATTAGCTCGATTCTTAATTACGAAATAAAAGAATGAATCTATTTTAAAAACGATCAAGTCAGTGACGATCGGAAACTGTTATTAATTAGATATTAACATTGTTAAATGTTAAACAGCGACTAGTTTAAGATATTTACATTTTAATAAAAGACAAAGGCGATAATGGCATAAACTTTAATTTACATTAGTGAAATGTATGGCGCTTTGTATTGATTAAATAAAAATATATTTATTACTGCATCTAGTACTCAAAAAAGTATTTATCTAAAAATGTGCTTTTGTGCTGTTATCTAATAATACATGATTATAAAATTATAAAAAGAACTTGCGTTTAAACCAAGAGCAAACCACTTCAAATTGGGATTTCCTTAAAGTTTTTTTTCGCTCTAGTTAATAAGCTAAAAAAAAGTAATTTAAACTATTTATATCCTCGGTGGGACGCCATAAAATTTGCCCCCCGACAAAGTTATCATCCATCTGACAAAGTTAAGCCGCTACCCAACTACCCGATTTGTCAGGATCTGGCATGTTGTCTGATGAAGCCATACAGAGGATGGGTCTGAACACCTGTCTTGTAATTTGAGCCGTATATAAGTCGTCACGATGATTAATATTTTGGTTACTTGGTCATGGAGGGTTGCGGGATTCGAAGACGGGAGCTCTAATGGCCTGGCCGTCACCTTGAAGACAAGATCGTAATTTTTTACACTCTACATGCTATACATATATGCTCTACATGCTATAGTCTTCTACGTAGTAAACTAGAATACTGTAATAACATCTGGTCACCTTTATAAAAAAATTCATATCACAAGGATTGAAAATATTTAAAAGAGTTTCTTGCGGCAAATATCATTTAGATTTAAACTAAACCTTAAAGATTATAATGAGAGGTTAAACTACTTTAGCGTTGCAGTCTTGAAAACAGAAGAAAAATCTTATCATTGATGTTTCTTTACAAAATTTTAAATAACAAAATTGAATGTCCAGATCTCTTGAATAGATTTTTATTTCGAATCACAGCAAGAATTCTTCGTTATCCTTCTAAACTATTTCAAGTTGCAAACGTATAGGACTCATTTATTATTTAATAATTACTCATTTAGGTAAAATCTCACCAATACCCATAATGGTGACGTTATATAATAACACTTCTAAAGAAATAAATGATTTAGACATATGCCACGACAAGTTGGTACAATTTAGGCAAAAAATTTTGGCCTCTTTAAAAAAATGCATGCACTATTAAAATTATAATTTAAATTAAACTTGGATCTGTTTGTCATAAATTAATTAATGATATTTTTATAGACATTTATGAATATTCATATATGTACATATAATATTTATATATTTTCTTCTTGATTGATTTTAGTATTACACATAATGTATTTTTTTTAATTTAATTCTGTGATATTTTAAAACTTTGTGTTATATTGAAATGTTAAATTGTATTTTCTGTAATAATGTTATTAGTTATGTCAATGTTATTGATTATTATGTAATGTGTTATTGAATTTATTATTATTGTTTTTTAATTTAAATCTTGATATACAACAATTATTATATTTTGCATGATGTGATAGCCCTATAATTTAAAAGGACATTTAAGTTATTGTTAATAGTTTGATAGTGAATGAATGTAATAATGTTTTCTTTTGTTAGTTATCCAAATAAATAAAAAAATACATAGCATATATACACAGTTGTCGACAAAATAGTTTTTTCGGGTGTGACACGATAAGCTTATTTGAATTTATCAGTGTGGCTGCTGATGTGGATATACTTCGATACTTTGGCACAGCTGGCCTTTCTAGGATATTTTAATACCCACCATCAAGAGTGGCTGTTTCCATTAAAACTGCTTGACCATGCACAGAGAAAAGCTCGGAATTTCTCGTTATTGCTAAGTCTCTGTCAGCTGTTAAAGGAAGTCACAAAGGTGCTAAATGTGGATTGCCGTATAGTCATCTACACACAGGCTGGAACTGCTGCTGAAATTGATCCGGACAGATTCACCATTGAAGTGTCATCTTCATTGTCGAACTTTGACAACAGTCTTGTTAAATATTTATCGAAATATTCTCAGGCCGATCACGAAATTAACGGTGAAAGGCAAATTTGGCGGTACAAGTCAGCAGATTGAGATGATATGCGGCATTACTTTATATCTTGTCTTTGTCTTTCTAACCACAGTATAATTATTAAAAAGTACTTTATTAAATGCAAATATATATTTTTTTATCAATGTAATGTAATCAGTTATTATTAACATATAATAATTTCATAATAAGATGCTTCTGAATCGAATTAAACAAAAAACATGTCATTTGTAACAGAAGAGCTAGAATATCTTAATACATCTTTCAAAATATTACTACGTACATATATGTATGTATAATATATATGTTTGTTTTCGACTATTCAAGTCCTCAGTACAGAAATATAATTTAGGAATGGGAAAATAATTAACGCCTAAATCGAAAAAAAAGTAAGGTGACCTATTTATTAATGGATGGTACGTGTTCAAGAAGATTGTTGTTATAAATTTGTCGTATTCGTCTTTTTTAATGTGCGTACGTGCGTGCGTGCGTTTCTATGCGTTTCATTATAGCTTGCAGATGGATCAAACGAATCAGATACGATTTTTTTTGGCTTAAAATCTAGTGTCCTTGCATCAGTTCTTATTTATGTTTGTTTAATATAAGCTAGTGTAAAAGTAACAAAGTAAGTTTGACGATTTTTGGGCGTATATTTACATGATCAAGTGTGTCATATTTGCCGGTACAGTCGTTAAATGAAATAAATTTTTAATACGTAGGGGATTTTATGTAATTTCTGAACTTTCAAACTTAATATATAAAATTTGAACGTCAATCAAAAGTTACAAATTATGCTGGATGTGAATGTCCAATTTTATAATAATGATAAATTTTCTCTCTTATTAAATATAATATCATAGATATTGTAGAATTACTGCGTTTTTTTAAGTTTAAGATCAAATAAAAAAGGCGGATTTTTTGAATAGTAGCAAAAGAGGGTTATGGTTTGAAATCAGTTTTTATTCATATTCCAATCATTTAACCAAAAATCATCGCAAGGCATCTCCATGTTAGCAGATTAGATGGATCGAATCCATGAGTTGAAGGATGTGACTCTGGCGAAACCGGCGGGGTGTCCACGAGTGCATCCATCACGATGACCGAAAGATACAACTCCGATCTGTAACAAGTAGAAAAAAAATATTATTAAGAGACAATGGAATAAAAAAAAGCAAGTAGAAAAATAAACACCTTTCAGTTGTATATGCAAAAAAAAAAAACATTTCAAAAAACTCATACCAATGTGTTACTAATGGCCAGGGGACCACCGGAGTCTCCTCCGCAGGTACTGCGTCCGTTAGGAGTAGCAACACAGATGACAGATGATGCAATAATATTTCCGTAAGTGCGCCTGCACACGTCATTGGAGATAACTTGCAAGTTTACGTGTCTCATGGTCGAAGACGCTCCAGAACCTGAAGTATATGAATTTTTGCCGTTCATGTTTTCTAAAATATTATTATGTATAACTACAAAAAAAAATATATCAGAAAACTAACTGTCGCTGGTTTTTGCCGAATCCTGAAGCCGTAGCCCATGATCCAACGTATTGGTTGCTTCCGCTTGCTAGGCCAATGTTCCTAATGGTGTCTGTAATGAATGAAGTTCCACAAATGATGCAGGGAAAAAACATTTACAGTTTTATTTTAATGCAATTCTTATGCTTCAATATTCCTTACTGGAGTAGTTAACACGGTTGATGATGATCACAGCAACGTCATTGGCGAGATTCCACGCGTTGTAGCTTCCGTGCATGCGTACATTGCGGGTAGTGATACGAGTACCGCCAGAGTAAAGATTGACTGAGCCAAGAACGACGTTGAATTCACGAGCTTGGGCACCACCAGAATACCAGCAGTGAGCAGCTGTCACCAATCTGGTGTTACTGATCAGAGAGGCACCACAAACTGACTGTCTGCCGTCAACTAATCTGATAAGTAAACCCGCCTGTAATGTTGTAAGATATTTTTGTATATTTTTCCTCGAATGGCAGTCTATAATAAATGTGAACATGTATTTATTACTTACTTGGTAAGGAAATTGGCCAAGGGAAGCAGCGCTTCCTCCTGTGATCCTGCTGCCGTCGAAGTCAGCTGATTCTTCAGCCTGTTTGATACGAGCAGCTTCGAAAAACACCAATGGTGTTGTGGTAGTCATTGGTGATAGGTAGTTCAGGCTCGAAGGCTGAAACAGCCACGGCTAGACCGACGACAACCAGGAGGAGTTTCATGTTGACTGAAAGTCGCTACACAAAGTAAACTGACTGCATGTTTTCTTTTTATACTGAAGAGTATCTAATCAAGAAAAAAGTAATTGTCATTTTATTTAGTATTTGCAATATATCGTTACTTTAATCGTCTAATACTTTTATCAGTTTTAAGAGATAATTGATAACTACTAAGAAGTTATATTTTAATTCGTCTTTTGATTGACAGTTGTCCTTCAGTTGCAATGCCTTACAAAACATTTTTCGGATTCATCTGGTTCAATTGTTTTTTAAATTAATAATTGTTCAACGAAAGAATGATTCAAGTGATAGTAATATTTAACTGTCGTTTTTTTGGAAGGCTAACTTTTAAAGTAAAGTTATTGAAGTAGAAACAGTTCACATTGCATATTTTAACAATTTCGCTAAGAATTCATTCACAGACTAGCAGATATTAGTATCGACCTGAATTTGACCTGTTTTTCGCTTCTATTTTTATAGAATTATATACATGTATTTTGTATTAGTTACATATATTTATAGAGTAACCGGTTAGAAAAGTAAAATTGTTAAACAGGTGTCACGTGAAAATAACATAAATTAAATTATAAACTTCACGTTTCAACTTAACCTGAATCTCTGCATTAGTTTTTTTTCATAAATAAAAAACTTTTTATTTTTAAACAAGACTAGGCATCTCGAACATTTTGAAACATTTGAAGGACATTGAGTTCCCCTAATTACAATATAATATCGCGATATTCTGCAACGAACATAATGTTTTAAATTATGATATTTTGAAGTTATCTTTTTAATAATGTACGTTGGGTTTAATAAATATTGCAATAATTTTTTAGAAAACCTGAAAACAAATTGTTACTTAACAAAATTTGATATCAGCATATTCTAAAAAAAAAAGAGAGCGTCTTAATAAAATAATGAGTTTACTATAAAATAATTTTTAAGTTTGAGAAAAATAATAGTTCGTTAATATTAATCTTCTTATTACTTTTTTTTTTGTTATGCTATTCTACTTATTAGTCTTACAAGATAATTTGTTTAAATTTACCCGACAGTTATCTGGTGTAACAAATTTCGTCTGTGTGGTGACTTTTTTTTTAGTTTTTAGTTTTGACCTCAGTGGCAAAGGCAGTACTTATATTTTTCAGAAGTTCGGGACCTACATTTTCCCGCTGTAAACTAAACAAAAGAGAAAGAACTCTTTATTTATAGAAATAATTATCCCCTAAAACTTTAATGAAAAAAGTGTCCGTAATTTTTTTGAAAACTTCATTTTTTTTTATTAATTAAAAAATATCAGAAAAAAACTATAAAAATACTATTTTTTAATTTTACTCTCAAATAAAATAAAATATTTATTTTATAGGATGTTTTTGTTATAATCGTTTGGTTTTGATATATTTTTTATATGGAAAGTTTTTAGATAAGATAATTTTGTAAAGGGATTCTGCAGGCAAAAATAATAACTCGAAGTTTTGCTTATTTACAAATAAAAAATTATCATTTAAATTATAACCTACTAATAAGATAAGGAAATCCTCGTCCCAATTATTATTAAATCTTACAACATAATCTGAATGTCAGCTGTATGTTTGTCTTATCGTTTCAAAGACCTTATGGATAACTTAAAGTGATAAGTTTTTCAATTAACAAATATAAGATAACCAAACTAAAGGTTTACTGTCTGAAGAGTTTGGAAATCTCTATAAGAAATGTCTTTGAAATATTATAAAATGTTGCAAAAAATATGTATATATCAGCTAGCTTTATAAGGCAAAAATATGAACTGCAAATATAGTTACCTTATGATTTTAAGATTTTTAACTCGCTTGGCTAAAATTACCTTTGTTGATGTATTCCAAATGTATTATGGAGTTTGTCTCTAGATACAGGATATAATTTTGTTACATTTCCGTATATTTTCTTAATACAATCTGCTTTTATAACAAAAACACATTAAAAATATAATAAATAAACAATTCTGTTGCCATGAATTTTGAAAACAAAAAAAGGGCGACATAACCTGTTAAAATCTTTTGTTTACAAATACACTCGTATCGTTAGTTCAGTTATGTTTTTAACTCAAAATAAGAAATTTAAAGCAAATCTATCGACTCCAAATTTGAGAATGAGCTTATGTTTTAAATAAATATATATAACACAAATTATCGCATAATATAAATAGAATTGTTAATTGTTTCAAATCAATCAATCAATCAATCAAAATCAACACTAGTACAATACAGTCAAGTCGGAACTAAAATATATTATAAGACATTTATATTTGGTATCAACATTATTTTTATTATTTGTATGATTTCTTTAATAAAGACATATTTCATGCTTCAATAAAAAACTTTAAAACTGTAAACAAATAGTGATTTGTAAGAATTATTGTATTTAAGTAAATTAACAATTAATTATTTGTCTACGTTTTAGCGTTACTTTTTATAAAAGTTTCAAATAATGAGATCTAAGATGTTCGCGAGTATTAATCTAAATAGAAAACTAATATTTTCGGAATGCTACGCGTATTAATTCATTATTTTAAAAAACGACATTCTCCCGTCGTTTCGGTTACTTTACAGCCACCGCGATCACAGGCAGACGAGGTGTAAATGATAATTCAAAAATTTAAAAAAAGGTTCGCAGTTTGAAATTTGGGATAAAATTAACGTACAATTCTGACCTTTGGTGAGGTCGGTTTTGATTAAATTATATCATATAATTTGGAAAAAATATTGTTATAGTAAGCACAAATGTATTAATATAATTAGTTAAAGGTTTTTTTTAATGTAAGTTTTTCCTTAATTAATTTGTAAATTCACATTAAAAATCGAAATAACTCAACCTCTTATTACTAAGCCTTTCGCCAAAAATACATTCATTAACACTGTGGTCTTATCTACTCCTGATCATTCTCGAAGTATCCGCGGTACGACAATAAAACTAAAATTTTATACTAATTCATGAAACTTGCAAAATTTTCATTTATATTGCTTCTATATGAAGCTGCAAGAATAAACGTATTTTTTTTCTAGTATTGTTCTAGTACTAGTATATATGTAAATGACATAATATAATTTTCAAATTGTTATAAAAATTACTGTGATGTTAAATACAAAATACCGATATTAAATCAATACTAATAGTATATTCATTATTACTTACAACCATTTACGTACAACGATCGGAGAGATTTTATATGTTAATCATATTGCATAATATTTAACCCATACTAATAAAAAAGGTTTTGAATTGAGTCTTTTAATTGGTAAAAATGTGATAGTTTGCTATTACATATTAGATAAGATCCAAGAGTTGAAAGAAAGTTACTCTTGCGAAACCGGCTGGATATCCACGCGTACATCCATTGCGATGACCAAAAGAAGTGACACCAATCTAAAGAAAACATGAGTTTAGACATTGTAGAACAAAATGAGCAGAATTATATACAAGGGCTTTAAAATATTAATAATCACTTACCAGAGTGTTACCGACGGCCAAAGGTCCGCCAGAGTCTCCACTACAGGTACTGCGGCCATTTGGAGTAGCAACACATAGAGTGGAGCTTACTACAGTGTTTCCGTACGTAAATCTGCATATGATATTGGAGATCACTTGCAAGTTGACGTGTTGCAAGCCTACAGATACGCCGGACGCTAAAAATATATATAAATGTAATCATACGTATATAATTTTTTTGTTAAAGGAAAATACACTAGATTCCTAGTTAGGAAATTCGGTATCGATCTTTTCCCAAACCTCTTACGAAATCTTTTTTCCCTTGGAAGTATTATATTTTTATAACTTTAGTTCAAAAATCATAACTATAGCCCAGAAGATTCATTTAGTTCTATATTTTTTAATTCCAAAGTTTCCAAAGTTTTTTAATTCCAAAGTACTCACTATCAGTGTAACGACCAAATCCTGACGCTGTCGCCCAAGTTCCAACGTATTGGTTGCTACCACTTGCAATTCCGATGTTCCTGATGGCATCTGTGAAAGAATTGGTGAAGCGAAACTCAGTCTTAGAAATAATAATATGAGGCATATATCTAATGATTGCCAATGTACATACTGGAGTAGGTAACCGGACTTATAACGATGATGGCAATATCGTTGTTAAGATTCCGCGGATTGTAGTTTCGGTGTACCCTCACATCTGTGGTGTCGATACGTGTACCACCAGAATAGAGATTGATGGTGCCAAGAACGACGGTGAATACACGGGCTTGAATCCCATTCGCTCTCCAGCAGTGAGCAGCTGTCACCAATCTGGTGTTACTGATCAGAGTGGCACCACAAACTGATTGCCTGCCGTCAACTAATCTGATAAGTAAACCGGCCTGAAATTATGAAAAACAAATTAAAGTACAATGATTTAAGCACATACATTAATAATATTTACATATATACATTACATTGACTATGTTAATTATCTTCCATGTATGCGAATTTTTATTTTATAATAATCCAAATGATTTAAATTTAACTGTATAAGGACGTATATTCTCTTTTATATCTTTCAACATATCTAAGTAACAGCCAAAAGGCTGTTGGATTTATTTTTTGAAGTAGAAATTATAATTACTTGGTAAGGGAACTGTCCAAGAGAAGCAGCGCTTCCTCCAGTGATTCTGCTGCCGTCAAAGTCAGCTGATTCTTCAGCCTGTTTGATACGAGCAGCTTCATACACACCTATGGTGTTGTGGTAGTCATTGTTAATGGGCTCGTAGGCTGAAACAGCCACGAATAGACCGACGATAAACCAAGAGGAGTTTCATCTTTTTTAGTCCTCAATACGTTATGTCTCACAATGCAGCTAATTCATATTTTATACTCATAAATATCTTATCATGTATGAAAATGTATAAAATGTATTATATTTTTTTCATTAATCCGTCCTAATATTTATTTAAACAAATCTTTCGATTTGTATACAAAATCGTACATCCTTTTCATAATCTCCACACTTAATTCTTTTATCATTGTTTAAATATGACACATCTTAAAATCTAATTTATTAAAAAGAAACGAGTCAATTATTAAATGTTAATCTGTATTTATTTTCTTTTATAACCTATAAATAAATTATTTAAATATATCTGTTTATAAAACTCAGATGTCAAAAACTTAACTGCGTCGTGGACAAACTAGTCAAAATTTCGTTCACTAGGTATTAGAAACAGGAAAGATCCTCTACTGCAAAATTGTTTAATCTCATTATCATAATTATATATAATCCGATAATTTAAATCTACTTATCCCAACCGTTCATTTTTTTTGAACAGGATTAAAAAACCAACAACTGTCGAGTAATTATGTTTTAGTTTCCATGAATGCTACTATTTTCTATTTCGTTTATTACAAATTATTATGAGTTTTGAAAGGCTAAGAAAAGTAAAAGAATCGAATTGGTTTTATTATAATTTTGTTTTAATTAGAATCCTTTTATTTACTAGAGATTTACATACACTTACATTTTATAATTTTTGACCTATCAAGAATTATGATTTTCTAAAAACCATATAAATTATTCTAATAATTATAAAAATAAAATATAATAAATCAAAACAATATCGACAAACACCATATAATTACAAAGACGCAATGAATGATTTTTACTTATTGATATCAATAAAAATAAAAGGATTAAAGCGTGTTTATTTTAATTTTAGTGATTATTATGAATAAATCTTTTGTAAAAATGAAATATCGTTATTCAATAATGAATATGTGTACAAATGTGCATGTGTAGAAAAAAACGATTAAATGACAGAAACTTTAGTTTTGATGGATTGACGTAATCAATATGGAAGAAAGAAGCTAGAGAAAATTAAATCCAACATTCTTTTTAATCAAAAGCCACTAATTCATGAAGTTTGACCTAACAAATTCAATCTAATGATTAACAAACTCAACGTTTAATATTTTAGGAGTCATAAATAATAATAAACGGAAAATAAATCAGATTTATTGATGGCAGTATATTTTATTGTGTTAATAAATAATCATATCATTTATTAATGTAATAGACAATATTATTTTATATGCCTAACTATTACTTAATCCGTGGTAATAATTGTTTGATTTGTTTTGTTCGTTTTATTTCTTCTCGTATTTCTGTGAATATTACTTCACAATCAAAATATATACTATAAATATCACTTGATCTACAGAATGTGTATTTAAGTTTTTAACAAGTTATGTGAAGTGTCATTGCATAAAAATGCTGTACAAAATAATGTGTTAATGCAATAAGTCGAGAAGAAATTAATATATTATTATTATTATCATGTTCATTTGTTTCCTTATTTACAACTGTTGAAATTCTTGTAATACGTGTTATCTGTCTGACTAGTTTCTGATAAAATTATAAGTGAATCATATATACATATTTTGAAAACAAAAAAATTATAACAAATAACTTTAATCCTCATAATATAATTAGTGTAATCAGCAATGATTTTTAAATAATGACGTAATATATATTCTTATTTTTTATGGTAAGATAATATTTTTTTGCACGTTAATAAAAAAAGGTAATCGCTTTTATGATAAAAAGGTCCTCAAAAATACCAAATGGTGATATTATGTCCAAATAATAAAACAAGATTGCTTAATTTCAATATTGTATATTTGAACTTTTTTGTAATATTTTTATTTTAATTTATATGCGAGCTTTGATCCACGAAGCTAGAGCTGTGACTCTAACGAAACCCGCGGGATGGCCTCTAGTGCATCCATTGATATGACTGAAGGAAGTGACACCAATCTGAAAAAAATATGTTAATAGTATTTTCTATTACAATTTGTGAATCCTGTTTGCCTATCGTTCCACCTGATGGTTGATGGAAAGAATAGTTTTTTTGCGTATTTTTTGCGTGAGGTGACGTTTAACAGCACCTGCAAAAACTACTAAATTCTCTTCACACACGATCGGACCTATGCTTTGTAGACATAAAAAAGCTGTTCGGGATTAAGACAGAGTTTCCTTGCCTTCTTTAGCCTTGGACTGAATGAACTGTCTAATGCTAAGATTTAGTGACCCCTCAATAGCAAAATTACTTATAGTGGTCGGTTTATTCAAAGGATACGTTTCAAAAGTTTGGGGCGAGACGATAGACGAAAGCTGTCGTGACTTTCATTTTGCTTTATATATATAAGGAGCAGATCGGAAGATCGACCGATTTCGGTGAAATCTGTATCTCATCAGTAAGAGGATCAGTAACTTAATAGTGTGCCATGACGTAACTGTTCAATATAAGAACGTTCCAGAACCTTCCATATTATTTTATTAAAAATGGACGACAAATAGAAGGGCCTTTCTAGTTATTTACGATTATGTGGTTCGTTTAACTAACTTTTAAACAACAATTTATAATAGGTGCTCTCAAGCATTCAGTCCTATTACTGATTGTCTTATCTGAATTATACTCACTAGCTGTCGGTTGTTGCCTGTGCCAACAGTAAGAGGTCCTCCAGAGTCACCGCCACAGGTGCTCTTTCCTCCAGTTGTAGCAACACAAAGAGTTGAATCTATGACGACGTTGCTACCATAGACCTGAGCACAGACGTTGTTGGCTATGACTTGCAAATTGACGTGACTCAATGCTTGATTTGTGCCGATGCTAGCAGCTAAATATATAAAAGAAAATTAGTTTGAAAAGGATTAAGTCGAAAACAACAATAATGCATAACTAAATGTCGTACAATCACTAGTCATGCCAAATCCAACTGCCGAGGCCCAAACGCCGATAAAGTCGCTGCTTCCACTTATAATGTTGATTGAACCAATGTTATCTGAAAATTATATAAAATAAAATATACAGGTCTGTAATATGAATTTGTATTTATATATATTTTTCATCATTTACTCACTGTTAAAAGTAACGGGATTTATAAGAGTAATGATAGCGATATCATAATTAAGATTTACGCTGTTGTAGTTAGCGTGCATCTCAACCCTATTGGTATTTTGGCGAACTCCACCACTGAAAAGACGAACGGAACCCATTACCACTACGAAGTGGTGGGCGAAATGTCTGTCTGTTCTCCAGCAATGTGCGGCTGTAACAAGCTTAGTTCTGGATACGATAGTGGACCCGCATACCGATTGCCTTCCGTTCAGCAACATTATTAAAAGGCCAGCCTGAAAGTTACAATTAGGTTATAATGATTATATATCATTATTTAAAGAGGGGACATTTGATATACATACAAAGTATGGGAATGTTCCAAGAGCAGCGACTTGCCCGCCAGAGATTCTGGATCCATCGAAGTCCAAAGCTGTTTCTGCCTCTTTAATTCTTGCTGCCATAGGTATCCCGACCGTTTCATGGTAATCATTATTGATACTTTCCTCAGCTGAAACAGCCAGGATCAAACCAACGGTAACCAGTAAAAATTTCATGTTTGAAATTGATTGTGTTGAATTATACAATAAAATATTTCATTTATATCAAAGGTTAATCTTATCATCCAGTTTTTATAATTTATCTGTATTAATATTTATAATAATTTAAGCTTCTTTATCAAGGTCATAGGGCTTACAACCAAACCTATCATCTAAAACGTTAATAATATTACAAAATAATAAATATGATAATAAATTTATTTCTATATAGTACTAGTATTGTTTAATTAATTATTCTGAATATATTTATGGCCTTTTTATATTAACGGTAATTGTATTAAATATTAGGCAGAAAAAAAAATTGATCATAGAAATTATATGTACATTATGCATAGTATAATACATTGTCTTTTATATATTTTCAATACTACTGTCTTAAATGTTGTTTAATAACTGTTCAGTAGTGCTTTGACAACAGATAATAACAATGATTTTAACTCCATAAAAAACATTTATTTATTTTAGTTTATTACTAAATTACCATATGTCTAGGTAATTTTTCCCATAAAAGAGTTGTTATAATTAAAAATTGTTTAAAAGTGTGCAGTTGTATGAAAAGTATAATATTATTGAGTATTTCTTTTCAACGATGATGAACATCATACATTCTAGAAAACGTACTTGGCGTATCTTGCTTCTATTTTATTTATTACCATCGTATTTATAGTAATATCGTATCAAGTCACGTTTCGTCTTATCATTTTTAAGAAGCTTTAAGTTGTATTTATGTAGTATAAATCAAATTTTAATCATTTTATCGATGTGAATAATATTATTATTATGTTTATTTTGATGCTGAAATGACTATTGATAGTTGAGTTTAGTCTTACTCTCTTTTTAGTCACGTGAATTGTTGAATATTTTGAAAATCTTAACGTTTTTACTTGTTAGAAGTCTTAGTCTTGGCCCGTTCTTTGCAAAATCGTGCTAAAAAAAATCTCAAAGTGACACGTAATATGTCAGAGATGACTTTATTTAAAAAAGTAAATAAAATTACTTTTATTTACATTTTAGACTAATTTTATTTTATCAATCAATTAAAATTACACAAAACTATATATTTTAATTGTGTTTGAAAAAATTATAGGTATTTTGTTTGTAGGAATTTCGATGGACTTGGATTTTTTTACTGTCTTTTAACGAATTATACTTAGGTGTCACAAAAATTGTATTTTTTTTTGGACTTCTTAAAAACCAAAACTGACTTTAATCTGAGTTTGTTACGTTTTTCAATATATGTATCATATTTCTAAAGTATAGTATATATAGTATAGTAAGTAATAGTATTTTGTTTCACATTCATTTATATCGTAGTCTAAGTATTTGGGATGGTTACCAACAAATATGAAAGATTACCTTAACATTTATAGTTATTAATTGAATATAACAATAACATTGTTATTATAGTTATAAAGTATTTTGTGTGGAAGAATCGGTTTTTTGCGATAATCAGGAGTAAAAAATATTTTTCTAGACTTAGATCTTGAATTATAGGACAAGAGGAAATTTTCTGTAAGGCAAATCGTATAATAATTTTATGTTGCTAATTGTTATTAACTTTTGTTCCAGGATCGAGTAGATCTGAAGGTTCAGAAGATGAAAGTGAGAGACAACCGACTAGCATTTCTTCCGACAGTGAACTGTCACACTCGCCGCAAACACAAGGATGGATTGTTGTGAGTATACCCTTTAAAGTTTTTTCATATGTACATATTTGAACAGGCATTTTTTGTTCATATATTTATGGCATTATTTTTGACATTCAATTGTTTACGATTGTCAGTCCATAATCGGATTTATGATAAGAAAATTCGATTTAATTCCATATCTGTCTGAAAACTAATTTCGCTTTAAATATTTAAAAGGTTGATTGTTTTTATCTTCAGATTATTGCAAATTTTTATGTACTGTATATGTAGTCACAAATTACACACGATTATATAACAAATTATTATAGTCTAATTGAATTTAATTTATCTACAATATGTAAATATACAATATTTTTGAGATACATGTATTGAATTTGATCTTAAAACTGACTCAAACGTCACGAGGACCATACATTTTTGCTGTCTATGACTTTACATTGTATAAAAGATGAAGAAAAAATCATTAAATATTTTAGGAAAATGACGTAAAAATATATCTTTTTAATATGATATGCCTTATAATTTGAAATACATTAGAAAAATTAATAGGCTGATAAATAGATAAAATCCATTTATTGCGTTAGTGTTTCAATCAATCCTTATATCTTAATCTGTTCTGAATCTACATTCTGTATAAATATTCCCTATGATAAATTGTCATGCACTTTAAGTAGTTAACAATACGTTTGTTTTTTTGCAATAACTATATATTACAAATACCTATGTACTACGTAATTTTCTAGATGTAGGCGGATTTCACAGGGCATTAAGAAACTTATCACCCATTCATTATCGTATTAATAAGCAGTAACTGTTTAAATTAAAGTTAGTTTAAAATTCATACGTCTCATTAAATCAATATTTATACATTTACATTAATGTATAAATATTGTTATGGTCCCTTTTCTACTCCCGTTATATTGAAAACCCTAACATTCCTTAGAAAGTTGTGAAAAAAAAATTAATATGTTACAACATGCTAAGTTTATTGAGTTATTACTAATTATTAAACTTCTATCTGAAAATAATTAGAAATTATGGATTACAAGCACAATTATGAAATAAAAAAAAATCTTATACATTATACCGTATCCATAGTGATAACTTAATTAGAACATATATTTTTTATGACGTTGTACCAAAGTGTACCAACATTCGGAAATATAGACATAAAATCATGAATGTGTATAACTGCATGTGCATGTGTGTGACGTGTGCGTGTGTGTATGTGTGTATGTCTGTGAATCACGCGAATGGACAAATTCAATTGTAATGAAAACATATTTATGTACTTTATGGCCGGAGCTATATATAGGATATGATTGTGGAATATACAGAAGGATTTTTTTTAAAAGCAAGCCAAGCCGCGGTTGTAAACTAGTGATCGAAAAAGTAATTAAAATATTAATGTGACGTCAAGCGATTAATCACGATAAAAGATAAGATTTAGAATCCGGTTATAATCTCTGACAATCCGTTAATTAAAATACATTTATATTTATATTTATCAAAACAATGATATTATCGTCTTGACGTCACAATTTAGTGAAAAATCTCTTTTTCATTAGTATTAACGCTTCTTTAAAAAAAAATATATTATGCCTACTTGTAAGCTACCTTGTGTCATAGCAAATAGTAAACTTTTGATGTTCCAATAACTAGAATGAAACGTTAAACGATTCTTCGTAGGTGAAGAACGAAACAGTCGCTACAATAGATACGCTAGAGCTAGAAGTTGAGCAGGTGACTCTACGAGCTCATCGGAGTACGGCTCTAGCGAGGTGTGTGGAGGCTCTAGCTCTCGTGATCAGGGATGTAGCTCACGTCACCCCCCACAACTGTAGAGCAGCTGTAAGATGTGTGCGTCTGTTAGCACGTGCAACTCTACATTCAGGTCAGAGTAATTCCATTTTGGTAATACCACCGATATAAAACTATATTTCCATATTGTTTGGCATAGTTTTTTCAACTGTATCTGTTAGAAATTGTTAATTCAAAGTGGAGATTCAAAATAGCCTTTATTTGCGTTTTAATTCGCTGCTGAGATTGGTAACATAGTAAATTTAAAATTCCAGGAAAAAGTCAAGAGAAAAGATCCAACAGCGGTTCCAGGAGACGAGCTCGATCCGACTCAAGTGATGATGAGGACTCCCTGGACCACTACCACATGGTCAGCATTCAGGTATCGCTGCACGCTTGGCATCACACTGTTGTATTAATTATTGCGATCGCAAAATGGTGATGGAAATTATTCCTGTTTTACGGTACAGGGTTTTGACTGTGTGTAATCGTTCAGATATTTAGATTTAATCTATTTAAGAATTGGATAGTAGGAGATTCTGACGGAGTAAAGTTTTGGAAGGAATGGTAAAAAAGTTACTAACATTCAAGAGTAAGTATTTTCATGGTACAAATTGAGGAAAAAGCTTCAAGGTTGAACTTTAAGGTTACAGAGTAAATGGTTAAAAATGTATATTTGCTTTTATGCTTGTTTACTAAACTTCCATCTAAAGCTCTGCTAGATTCATTTTGTGTCATAAATTATTACTAATTATCACGATTCTTAAGTACCTAAATAAAAGATGCGATAAAAATCTACTTGTCATACTTGAATTTGATCTTTATTTTAATGACGTTAAAGAAACATTTGTATTGCCAAACTTTACGTATATACATATTTTCTTCTTATTATAAACATTATTTTTTCATGTTGCTCTTGAATTGTTTTTGATCATTCAGTATAACATTCATCAAACTAATACAGAATAGATTTTTTTGTAAACCGATGTAAAAATCAAAACTGGCTTGAAAATTCTCTAAAGTAAAACGAATATAACAAAAAATCCAAGCCCATGTCGTCAAAAGCTTCAATAACAATTATAACATACTTTTGTTCGTAATTCCGCTAAATAACATTACATTCAGCTCTCTACACTTCATTACGTAATAGTATATTACAATTACTTTGAACTTAAATACATTTTAACAAATTGTTGACATCACTCCTAACCTCGTGTTTCCAGCTGTTAGACCTCATGCACACACTACACAGCAGAACGGCTCAGATATTCAAGTGGTGGAAGGATGAAGCTGATGCTGGACCAGGTATGTTCTTAAACTAATATATATATATATATATACACACAAGCTTTTGCCCGCAACTTTGTCCGCGTTAGTTCCATAATTAGAAAGTATAGCTGACCAGGTGAACTGTTTCAAATTAGTAGCAGTGAGTTAACAGATTTAGGATTTTATTAGCAAATTTTTTTTGTCGACGAATTTAAAAGTATCCTATGTTAGTTTCCTAAATTCATCCTACCACCCCACAAATTTCCATCCAAATCCGTACAGCCGTTCTTGAGTTATAAATAATGTAACTAACACGACTTTCTTTTCTGTATATATATGTAAATAACACTGTTTGTGTGCATATCACTGAACTCCTTCTAAACGGCTAGACAAATTTTTATATTTTTTTTTGTATGCATTTGAGTAACTTCCCAGATAGTTTAGATTTACAAATCAGCTCGACAGATGACGCTGTAGTTGGTGTCTAAGTTATTTACAGTTAAAAGCCTGTATCAAAGTTACTATACATTTTTTTTTTGTTTTAATTTTCTTTCATACACTTCTCTCAAATCGTAACTCTGATGTTGACGGAAATAAAGTCGAGACTACAAACTATTTTACTTTTGGTTTTACATAAATCAATTTTAAATAAAGATTACATCTTGGATTTATCCCTTTTTACTTTTATTTCAAATTCACTAGTTCTCTGTAGTAAATATAATATTTTAGGTATTTTTGCCATATAAATATGTATATATAATCCTTAAAAATTTCTGGTATGAGTCAGTTTTAATTAATACTATGATAATACACGAGATATCAAATTAATTAAATGCACGTTTATATTAATCAATGGTTAATCAATTTTAAAATCAATTGTTTTGTAGACAACGCACGTATTAGCAATATTTTAGATAGTGAAATATATTTTATCATTTATACCTAAAAAAAGAACGCAGATTACTAAGAAATAAAATTATTTTTAATATTACCACAAAGTAAAAAAACACAGTTCATAAATTTAAACACACTTGGTCAGAGTTCAGTCAAAAGGGTATTATAGATTATTGACTATTTGAAATCGTATGTTATAAAAATAAATTAAATGTCACTAAATTATAAATGCTTTGAAACTTTAACGAAAAAAATCTTTAAAATATGTCTATGTTTACATTTGAGAAAAAGACAAATGAAAAAAAAAACGTCTTCGTAATTATTTACAATCTTCAATTTTTTTTAATAGCACATTTAGTCTTAATTGTTTTCTTGCAAAAAAAAACTAAACTTTTAACTTCTTCTTAGCTAAAATTACTTTCAGAGTGGCAATCTCTAAAATGACTCAATATTTTTTTAATTTTTCCTGATTATATATTATATTATTGTCGTAATACAATTTCCTGACTTTTAAATACGACTGAATTTTTGGCTATAATTATATGTATATCAGTATGTTTGTTACAAAACATAACAAAAACACAGTTACATCTGATACCGAAATAATGCACGCAATATTAGTCTTCTTTACACTCGTGATAAATCCCTAACTTTCGCAATTGTATTCGCAATATAAAAAAAAAGGTATTTTTTAATTTCAAAACAAAACAGTGATATATATGATACTTTTATGATTTGTCTTTTTATAGATAAAAAGATTAGTAATTGTGATACGATATCTAATCTAGAAATTTAGGTAATTAAATTTTCGTAACATATATGTTGACTGCAATATTGTTATTGCATAGAATTACTTTATTGTTTTTCCTTGATCATATGATCATATAGTTACCAAATGAAAAGCGAAATTTCATGACGACATAAAACAAAAATAAAAAAAATGTATTTAACCAACATGTTAGTTACAAGTATATTAGGTACAGACGGAAAAAAAAACTTACAATAGACATAATACTTATTTATGAATTAAAATTATATTTCGGGTTTAGCTATCTTCATTAATTACGCTTTCACCTGACTCCTTCATTATAAAGTTTTTGTAAATATGTTTTTCTTAAGCGATACATATACATATAAAGATTTCTAAGAATCTTTATGTAGAATAATTTTCTGTAATACATGCTTTCCGAGTTCTAGGCTGTGAAGAATCTTTTGTAATTGAAATTTTATATGCATTTCAAATAAGTTATAATGTTGTAATTAATAATATTATAATTGCTTGGATTAAGATATTTTTAAATAACCAATACATATATTTTGTCTCAAATTTCCGTAAAATTTAATATATAGAAGTGATACTTATATACTACAGCATATATACTATCATTCAACAAATATTAAAACAACACTCAAATACTGCGTAAATCAATTTTTATATCAATATTGTTGGTCATAAGTTAACCATCTTGTGTCTTCCAATTTCATATAAATATTTATGTTATATAATAGAAGATAGTGCATTTATGTAAAACCTAACAATAATTGTTCTAGTGATAAGATCGTTAATAATCCTCAAAAAATTGTTTTAATATTCCAGCGGAAGATTACGATCTGTGGGAAGTCGCCTGGAAACCTCTGCTGCAAGGAATCGCTGAGTTTTGTACTGACAGAAGGAAACAGGTATATATTATATAGAACCAACTTAAACTATACTGTAGAAGCTTGAAATCTTGTATTGAAAGGAAAAAAATACCGGAGATATGGAAAATAAGTCCAAATTATGCATCGCAACAGAATAATATTATAATGGTATATTTATCTGAGGATAGTTTATAATAATCTCGTGTCAATAATTCTTCTTCTTTAGTTAGTGGCGTTTCCTTATAGATTTCGCTAATGTCATGTGCTGATATTATACTGAACTATGTAAAGAAGGATTTGTAAATGAATAAGGTCATGTCAATGATTTATACCAAAAATTAAATGTTTATTTTGTAACATCTTAATTTTCAGGTAGCGAACAGCGCGATCGCCTATCTCCAGCGAGCTCTTCTAGCGCCGGCGCTAGCTGCGCTAGGCGGCGCTGGCTGGGAGGCGTGCTTCGAACATGTGTTACTGCCGCTACTACACGACCCGCCGGCCAGACCTGACGCAGCGGCCAGAGCCGATACTGTTATGTGCAAGGTATATATAATACTTATTTATTTATTTATATAAGGACAACTTACAAAACATACACCATTTATAGGTTTTAAAAAATAATGGTTATTACATATTTAGCTAGGTGTTGTTTCAATTAAAAGTTATCACGGCATGGAAAAGGACAGTATTTTCTATTAACCTAACACAACTTTTTTTTTTTTCTACTTCAATTACTAAAGATGTATGGATATTCATACAAAAACTACTGAGCTATTTTTGATGACTTTTTTTTGTGTAGTAGTTGAGATATGAGAAAAAACAACGAAATTTTAATTGCAATACATATTCGTGCCATGTTTACTAGTTGTGCAAATCTTAAGTTTTATATTTCATTAATGATTTGTTAAATGTTTTAATTTATTCCAATGATAAGAATGCTTTTTTAAATTAAAAGAAAAACAGCCTAAAATTAATATCTTTTAATTCGTAATTTTTAAATATACTAGCAACGCCATCTAGACGAGGGAAAGTAAGACTAATACTTGAAATTGTACTATTTATAGTTTGTAAAACAGTACTTACAGCGCCACCTAGCAGGAAATAACTAAATTAAACTCTACAAATCATAACCAGAAATATATAAAACAGGAGATGCTCTCAAAATATCAAGTTGTTAATATATGTATGTATATTACAATTCATAATTACAACAGCTTCATATTGACATAAGAAACAAATGTTGAGTTTAAAGCAAATTACTTTTGTTTTATTTAAAAGACTAACTGACAATACGACTAAACTAGGATTTCCAAATTTTCATACATCTTTTTTATTTTAAATTGTCAAAACACAATAATACAAAACATTATACATTACTCTAGACTGTCGAGTCTAAATAGATTTGTAATATTACCTATAAGGAATTTTAATAAAAATAATCTTCATGAATCTCAGGTGTCATTATTATAAATTACTCTAGATTCTAGAGTCTAGGTTTATAAGCGGTTGTCATAGAAATATTAATACAATAATCTTCATGAATCTCTACTTCAGGTGTTCCTCCAACATCTATCAGCTCTGAGTTCTCGGCGATCGTTCTCGTCTCTGTGGTCTAAGGTCGCTAGTGTTCAGAGGTCGCTGTTGTCGAGTAGCGCCGAGCCGCTCCGGGAGGCGGCGCTAGAGTCGCTCAAAAACATGCTGCTTGTCATGCACTCTGTACGGGTGAGTGTCCAAATATACATATACATACTAGAAGAAATAACTTATGATAAAATTCGTCATCGTCGTCATTGGCCTATCAGATCCTACATCTCAGCAAAGGGCTTTTCTCACATGGAGAAGGTATGAGTATTAATCATATCGCTTGCTCAAGACGGGTTGGTGATTTCAAACTTATAATTGAGAAAGTCCAGGTTTCCTCAAGATATTTTCCTTCACCGTCTGTCAGTGGTATCTTAAATTCCGAGTCATATGTACTCTTAGAAAGTACATATGACTCGGAAAAAACACATTGGTACTTGCCAGGATCGAACCCTCGCCCTCGCGCACTAGATGCGAACCTTGAACCACTAGAAAACTGGTGACCGTTAACTGCTGACTGACTGATAAACTTACTGTCTTACAAATATTATTTTACAGTATAACATCATACATGATAGGCTTAGTGTGTCCTAGCTTTAAAGTTATTAAAATTGTTCATAAAGATACTTCCAATTTTAATGTTAGTTCGTCTACATATTTCCAGATATTCAACGACGGAGACGGCTATAATGATCTATGGTACCTCACGTGGGAGATTATTGGAGAGTTCTTACCAAACTTGAAGGAAGAACTGTTCCCTGATGGTAAGGATATACTAAAGAGAAAAATATACACCAATGACTCAAGTTCTGAAAATTATATATAAACCTTCTTAACGTTTGAAACTTGTATGACCAAATTACTGATTTTCGTCGTAATCACAATTAGTATAAAATATATTTTTCCTTAAGAAATATTCTGAGCAATATGATAAGAATGTGTGAACTGATTTTGTATGAAGGAGTTAATAGCATAATATGGTATTTATTAAATAAAATCAGTTATTTTTACTATTTTCACTAAACACTTCTTTAGCTTAATTATTAAAATTGCAAATTAAGCAACAATCCATTCTATCGAATATAAATTCTGAAGGAAATATTGCATTTTTAGAGATGTATTTATTTTATATGTAATGAATTCCACAATGTATTCCAGCTAACGACACTAAAGCTCCACCAAATTCAACAAACAACGTGCAGTCTTCAATGCCGCTTCTGCCCAACATAGTACCAGTTGGACAAACCAATCCGCCAATGCAGCCAACACCACAATCGCCAACCAATATTACATTGGCCGCCAATCAAGCCACTCCATCGATCCCGATCCAAATACAAAGATCATCAGCACAATCCCCAAACATACTAGTAGCCACTGTGGCCCAATCGCCTGTCAATTTATCCCAATCCCCACCACAAGCCCCGCCATTGATCACGCCAGTACCAATTGCACAAGCCAATGTTGCGCCAAAGGTTGGCCAACCGAACGTCGCGGCTCCTATCAGCGGGATGGTGCCGATAAGGAATCCTTTATATGACCAAACTGGTCTAACATCATCCGTACTGTTGCAGCCCTTGAATGAGGTATAAATATCATTTAAATTTCCTTATAGAAGATTCTGATGTATATATTATGTATGAAATGTATATAGAATATGTAAACAAAATTAACCAATTGTTTGACGTATATTTATTGTTTTGTTGTATATTTTTTATCTGCTTCCGCTGGCTATGAATTAAGTTATCACTAAAATCTACCTTTTGTAAGTTATTAAATATTTTGTAATTCTTATAAAATACACTTCCAATTTTCAGATGATTTCAACTCCTATTGGAATATCGATACAGACACAATCGCCTATACTCTGTCCTCGACCTGAGCCTGTGTTAAGTGAAAATGGTCCTAATTCCAAAGAGATAGAGTCCACTAAAGGAGAACTTTATAACGAATACATTACCAACCCCTACACAGAAATCAAAGACCTATCAGACAAAGAAGCAACTTTATACGATCCGGAGGAAAATCGTCACGTTCCCGTCACGGATCCGTTAATACAAAAATCATTCAGTGCGAATGTGACTCCAATGCATACTGTTAATAAGGCTCAATTCGGTTCAACGGACAATGTGAGGCAGGAGTCCAGTATATTTAACTTTTCAAACTATTTCGGATCTGTGAGTGAAAAAAATTCCGAAGTTTTTGATACGCTGATGTCGACTCAAGAAGGATAGCACGACTTCGAAGTGTATAGAGGAACCTGGCTTTAAAATGTGGACTTGTTTTTTGTTTATTGAAATTGCCTATGTCACTCGTGTTTATGAATATAACTTTATACAATAAATGTAACATTTAAATTATCTTTACCGTAAAATCTCTTTATTTCTGCCTAGATCATTTTAGAGACCAATTTACACATCCAGTTCTGTGGGATTTAACAAGAATTTACATGAAGCAGATATAAAGATTGTTTTGATAAAATTTCTTAGAAACATCAGTTCTTACTTGATTCTTATTATTTACTTTAACTTTGGATAGAAAAAAATCTAAATTCTACATAACGCTTGGGCTAGTCAATGATCAATTTTTCAATATATGTATTGTGTTATTGTATGTCATGATCATTATAATTTTTCAGACACATTTTCATTTCTGTAACCATAATACTTTTCATACAAAATTCACTGTCTCACATTTTTTGATAGTAATAATGAATTTTTTATATGTACTATATAATACAGTCAGTAAGAATTAGAGAAAATATTTTAATAACATTGTAAAATAGATATAACATATATAAATCATATAATTAGTAGAAATCAAAGAGCCTAAAGTATTAACTAATCTGTTATTTCTTAATAAAATCTTAATTGAACTATGGTCAATAAATAATTCTTCAATTAAAATTTATAATTTATTTATTTATATTATTGTTTAAATCGGCGGCACTAAGCTTAAATTATGAGAATTGTTTTCATTATCAATTTCCTTTTTATAACTTTTAATCATTATTTCTCATGTTACATTCCACGCTTTGTATTATTATGTTTTTCTTTTTTATTTTGTGTTATTTTTTTTTCTTTATTTTCTTCAGGGTTACTAAATTGGGTCTAGTGTAAATCTTGTAATTAAATGTTTGATTGTTTAGAGATATATTATATGTAGTGTTTATTTAATAAAATGTGTTTATCAAAACTTTGTTATTTTACTTAATTAGCGATCTGAACTTAATATTTCTGAATCCATAGAATACTCCAGGTTAGTTTGAAAAGCAAATAATCAGATGGATCAGTGGCGTGCACTCCATAGATGCAAATAAGCACTGCATACCCTACCCATATAACAACTTAACCTATATTGTTTAATTTTTAATTATATACTTTAATCATACATTACGAAATACAAATGTTAACAGACATTTAAAATATTTACATTTGATTCATGATTTGTTAATAGTCCCATGTATCAATGTAAAAACGAAACATTTTCGATCGGCCGCTGCTATCTACTAGCGCCGCTATGTAGCCAGAGCGGCGATAGGCACAACCACTCTGCTTATTTTCATTTGCCAATATTGTTATTTGTCTTTCTAAGCGCAAGTGAATAACTTTTTATTAGTTAAATAGTAAACAGAGGATTAATTTATTAATGAATTATGGAAAATTATAACTATGAATTCTGTGCTTGTGATGTGTGTTTTACCGAAATTAATAACGAGTAGATTTTCAATATTGTAGTCCCTACTAATATTATAAATGCGAAAGTAACTCTGTCTGTCTGTCTGTCTGTCTGCTACGCTTTCACGCCTAAACCACTGAACTGATTTTAATGAAATTCGGTACAGAGATAGAGTTGACCTTGAGAAAGAACATAGGATAGTTTTTATCCCAGACTTTTGAAAGGTTCTCTTGGAAACGCGATATAACCGAACTCCACGCGGCGAAGCTGCGGGCGGAAAGCTAGTTTGATAATAAAATTAAAATAAGTGTAAAATTAAAGTGTGTGACCAGTTGAGATTGCACTAAAAGAAACGTTATTCGTTTTAATAAAAAGTATTATTAGGTATGTAGTTTTAATTAATTAGCAGGTTCTGTACATACAAATAAGTTATTTTATATGCTTTGTTTGTTGTTTTCAAATGATAATAATAAGATTGTTTGAATCCCTACTAAATATTCCTATTAAAATAACTTTTATAAAGCTGAGATTAACAGATCGTAATCGTTTTAAGGTACTTTCGTGGCTCAGGTATTTTAGAGATTCATTAAGTATATAGATGTTCGTTCTGATCGGACTGCTGTAACATTATGTGCGAATATTGTCAATGTTTAAAATATGAAACTAATTTTTTCTGATTAATTCGAGTATTTTATTGTTTTTAAAAACTACATATTTACTCCGGACGTTTCGATTACTTTGCAGCAACAATGATCATGGCAGACATCTCGTCTGCCCGTTAAAAATAATAAATACGCGTAGTAATCCGTAAGTATTAGTTTCATTTAAAAGAAAGGAAATTATGAAATTTGGTATTATTTTCATACAAATTCTGCTTGCCCTACCTCAAATCTCTGTTCACGCCACTGAGATGGATGTACATATCAAAACTGTCACTTGGGAAATAAAACGCAAGGTTTATAAAAATGTCAACAATATAATATCAATAAAATTTACATTATTTACAAAATTTGTACAAATATCGAGAGTACCTTCACGGAAGGCATAAATGGGAACTTAAATTAATCTTCAAGACACACAACATACACATTCATACACGAGACACGTGAAGTGGTCTTTTATAATACGGATGTTGGGGCCTTAGTAAGGGTGGGGCACAGCAGGGGGCCTTGCGAGGGGGACAGAGGGCCTTCCTCCACACTACAGTCGATTTACGCGACCACGCCCATGCCCCCGCTGCTATACCACATGACAACCACAAACACACGGACACGCCACTCGAACCAGCAGTATCTTTCACTATCCCAGCTTCTAAAGCGGCCAGTAAAGCCAAGTTTGTTTGAGCCTCTCTATTCTTAGCTTCTATCACTTTGGTCCCGGTCGCGAACGCAGCTAGCAATAGATACAGTAGCCCTCCGGCCGCCGCACGCGCCGCCAGTCTTCCAACCCTCTTCGCTCCCCTGGAGTCTAACGCTCGTCGCACTCTCATGATTCCAGGACATGCACCAATCGCCAACGCTATTGACGTTAAGAGCAAAGCGCCTCTTGGGACTCCGATCAGCGCTGCTGCAGCAGCATCAGATATTCCACAAGTCCCGGTTAATTCGTCAGCAGTTACTCTTCGGAGCGCTAAGGCAGCTGCGGTCCACGCGCCCGCCCATCCCCAAGCCACAGCATGAAGGTACGCCGCAGCTCTCTCCAACGCCTCAGTGGACCACTCGCTGGCAGCTGTTAGATACCACGCTACGCAAGCATTCGCGAACCACGCATCTGCTGCTAACGTAAAGTAATACGTGAGGGAGAAGAAGGCGACGCAAGTTGGTGACGCTAATCCATCAACTGCTAGAGTTGTTCCCGAGCAGGAGACAGCCTTGGCTCCCAGCCATCCTCGAGTTACGTGCGACAATGCTACTATTGCGTGACATGCTGCCATCCAAACAACTGGCCTCTCTGGATAACGATATCGCGATGGCTCCGCACAGAATGTTAACAGCGCAAACAAGGTCGAGAGTAGTGAAAACCACGCTAATGTTATCATCCAAACTTCAGCTATTTTCTTGTTACCCTCAGTATATCTCGCGTGTTGTCCACACGCCGGCCAACATTCTCCGGTAGGGGCTCTAGCGTAAGCTGGCGGACAACCGTGTTCTCTGAGTTCGTTGTCGTGAAAAGGCCAGTGTGGTAGCGGTGGCGGTTCGGGCTCTAATTCACTAGCGTTAGGAGGCCTCATACAGAGTCTTCTATCAGGACGGAGAGGAAATGTGGAGCAATCGAGAAGAATGTTTGGCGACAGCAGCTTAATCTGAGATTTACAATCTTCTACGACCTTCTCACAAAGCGCTCTACAGGCGCTGACTGAGCCCGACACCTGCTCGGAGCAAAGTGGGGCGAAGGCCGAGCACAGGAGGAAGCGCGCGTGCACAGAACACTCACTGGATAGTATTCCCGCAAAGGCTGACATCTGAAACAAAAATAAATATAATTTAAAGATAAAGATGCTTCTTTTGAAACGCTACTGTGTAACTTGTGACGTCGTTGAGTTTATAATGTAACATAAAAAAAACTTCTTCCATAAGAAATGAAGAATACAAATATCGAGTGTTTATCCAAGCAAATATATAATCCATAAGAAGGTTGAATTGAGTAACACAATGTAATACTTAAACAAACTATTATAAGTTCTTCGAATCAAAAAAAATGATTGTAACTCAACAACATAATCATAAAGCTTATTTTGGCTTAAAATTGTTGAGCCAGGATTTATATCAATAGAAACCCTTGTAAATGATCAAAATACGCAAAAAACGAGTTGCGTGAGCAAATATTCTTTATGATATTCAGTTACTAAAAAAACTTAACAATAGGATAAAAGCAATAAAGTAATATGTGAGAATCGTTGATTACAGTTTTTATAATAAATCTTATTTTGTAGCATATAACAAGTCAAATATGACATAGTATAATATTATATACAACGCAAATAAAATAACCGAAAAAGATGTAGAAACATATTTAGACCTCAACTAAAAATCTTAAGTGGTGCCGACATTCTAAACCTTTTTCGAAAGCAAACAGCGTTAGCGTGTTTGCTCACAATTGTTGGTTCAAAACGAAACGTTTCTAGAAAAAATGCTTTAGAGAGCAATCCACCGTTTAGAGATGAGACTGTGTTTACCTCTTAATCCGGATTTATAGAGAAAAAAAAACAAACAATTGTAAGTTACACCGATGGCATTAAAAATATTATTTTGTAATATTTTCAATTCCAAATATTGTCAGTGGTAAAACCGTTACTTGGTACGTATGTTATTGCTAATATTTAAGCGTTTTTAAGGTATTTCTATTTTTCCTGTAATTTTACTTAAACCCCTTTGGAAATAAAACCCGTTAAAGTAATTAAAGCACTTTTAATTTAAGACATTTACATCATATAAAGACGTCTATGTTTTTATTGTCTTTCAAATACAAAAAAAATCTTCCAAACAAACTTGCCTTTTTTTATCAAACAACTAATCTGCAAGTTTTTATAATTTTGACGTAAAGAATGATAAAATTTCAAAATTAAAATACATTTTTTTTACAATTCCTTTAAAAAAAAAAAACTGGCGCGCATGATAAAGTAATGTGCGAACTCTAAAATTGGTAAGAACTACTGTTAAGATAGTTTTTCTTGTTCACAATAATATCCATATAACATACTCTTGACGTTAAATAACATTTAAAAATAAAGATGATATATATAAAAAACGAGCACACATTACACAGAGTATTTATGTTTATATAATAATGTGGTATAAAAACACAACCTTAACATACGTATGTTTGTAAGCGTGGTTAAATCTTTTGAAGACAAAACCTTCGACCTTGCTATTGTCTTCGATGTCATTTAAGCGAGTTTTTCTGAACCAATTTCTTTGATTGCCTTTATAATGATGTAACTGGAAACCTGGTCTGACTAATACGGATTTGATGACGGAATGGATAAATTAATATTATCAATAAAATGGTTTTTGACAAATCAGTATTCTCAGTGGTAAAAATAGTTCTATAAAGTAGTATTCAGGCGTTCATTTTTATTTATTTCTGTACTTAAAATAGGAATTAAGGAACGAATGTATTTAAATATATATAATGTTCATTCATTGCGAAAAGTCATTTTGGGACTTTGACAGTGATACTTCGTGTAGAAAAATATTGTGCACCGATAACAAATAAGTGGTCGTGGTGGCCTATTGGTTAAAGGTCCGCCTCTCGTGCATGAGGACACAGGTTGGAAACCTGGCAAATAAAAATGTGATTTTTCAGAGTTATTTGTACTTTCTAAGAGTATTTAGACATCACTGACACACGGTGCAGGAAAACACCTTGATGAATCCGGGACTTTTAATTAATAGTTTGAAATCTACAACCCGTCTTAAGCAAGCGTGGTGATTAGTGCTCAAATCTTCTCCACGGGAGGTTTCTGCTCAGTAGTGGGCTTTGATAGGCTGATGAGGATGATGATGATTACAATTTGAAAAAACTTAATTAGCCCTTGTGTAACTAATACAAGTTCATTTATATAACGAATTTAATTCAGCGAGGCCATATGTACATGCATGATATTTAAAAAAAATAGATAAAATAAGTAGTTTCTTTAAAAATAGGTAATACTTAACGCGTATTAACACAGAACTGTGTTTTAAAATGCGGGGGACAACAAAAAATTTATTACCGACGGGATCCGAAAATAGCCGACAGCGACCGATCGGCTCTAGCGCGGTCTTTGATGTCACTAACGAGTCAAATAACGGTTCAAAATGTCAAACAAGTGAGTGATAATAATAAGCGGACGAGTTATTGTAGAAGTTTTTGTCATGCAGCTTTAATGACAGGACACTATATATAATTAAGTTTTTAAAAAGATTATTCATTATTTTTACTATGGACGCCACAATCTTATTATATTAAAACAGGAATATTTGTACTCCAGCAAATTGAACATATGTTTAACTTGAAATAGAATTTTTACATCACGATTGAATTTTATGCGTTCGTAAGCTCAATTTTCTTATCAATTATTTAAAAAAACGTCTGTATCTTGCAAGTATACATCAATCGACACTCAAACACCAAACAAACAAAGCAAACTCAAAATAAATTTACCGTGGTAAGTTTCAATGAAAATTATTTTTAAACTGATAGGAAGCGTATAATATAGATGAATTAAGAAATATTACGACCGTGAGAAAAACTAATAGGATTACGAGAAGAGATATTATTTGTAACTATTTATCTATATAGTTACACAGTCAATTTCTGTATCTGTAATTACAATCGAAAATTTCTTTTTACATTTAATGTTAGCAGGTGTGCTCAATAACTTTAATTGGCGTCACTTTCACTTACACATTTCTTAAGACTTATTATTTATTATCTGGTAAGTGTTGCAATTAGAGTGCTAAAAGTTGCGTAGTTTAATAATCGATAGGAAAGTGATCTTCTAAATCAATTTTTAATTATGAAGTATTCAACTTTCCATTTCTCTTTCTCAGTAGTACCTAAGCAATTTAAGTTTTGTAAATATATTATTTAATTTATAAAAATGGTATATGTAATATGTGGAACTATATCCAATAAAGAAACATAAGTACCAAAGTTGCTGATAGATGACATGACAATAAAAATATGTTCTTATTTTTTTGTAATAATAGTATAATGCAAAATTAACCTAAATAAAATATCTGACAATAAAACTCACGCACATTATTACTCATTGTAAAGATAATATTTATCGATCAATTATACAATATCGATATCGATAAGTTTATCGATATAAGCCAGCATCCCTAGCACTAAAAAACACATCGTGTTTAGTTCGAGGCCAAGTTTTTATAATCAACATGGCGGCTCAGTTGAAATGTTGAAGCGGCAATTCTTTGATATAATTAGGGTGGACAATTTGAGTCGGGACTTTATAAGTATAGTTATAATTTCATATAATTTCACGCAATTTTTACTACACTGGATTTATTTAAAAAATACTCCCTAAAAACGTTAGCGTCGTCAAATTAATTCCGATTTAAATATACGTATGCCCTATACAGGGTGACTGGTGAATTACTATCAATATTTAAGGAGCATACTCGGTACATGATTCTTATTCGAATTATGTAAAAAATATAGGTACTTAATTTTTGACCAAATTTCCGTATAAATAAATAAAGTGTGGACACGTTCCAAGTGTTCCAAGTGTGGACGCGTGCGGCGGCGTGCTGATACAACAACACGCCGCCGCGCGCGAGTGTGTGTGTGTGTGTGTATACCTAATCTGTAGGGTGTTCATACGATGCGTAATTAATTACATAACTTTTGGTTAACTTTACTCAGAAGTTTATTAATATTTATGTTATATTAATTTTTATTGTGTCATATATGATCGTCAAATATCACGTCCTCAAATATCGATAGTAATTCACCAGTCACCCTGTATATTTATGGAACATTATTCGAAAATATGATCGAAACAATAATGGTATAATAAAAACAATAACTATAAGGAAGAATGGAAGAACGCCAAATGACCTGTTTAAGGAACGTCTGACTCCAGAAGACAGCAGTCGCCAACCAGCTGGTTCTAAATCCAATATAAAATAAGACAAAATTAGTCCTCATAAACGTTTGCCGTAAAACATATAATACATGTTTTTGCCTGCGATTTCGTCTGCGTGATTTTTGCAATCTTAGAGACACGTATGGAATATTAGTTTAAATAATAGATAGTTAACATATATAAATAAGTTGACCGAAGTGTTACGTCAATGTAAAATGATTTCATACATAATGTAATTTTTATTGTTACATTCTGATTTCTGACATTACTACAGTTTCATCAAAATCAATTAAGTCGTTCTCGAGTTAAGATCTACAGACATTCTCACAAACTTTCTCATTATATCCTCCATAAGAACGATTAGTACTAATGAGTTTTCATAATTGATCCATCAAAATTATTATATAAAATTACATGCCATAATGAACTAGACTTCCTGATCTTTATAATTGAGATGTTTCATATAATTTTATCCTCAACGAATCTCAAGTAATTATGGTAACGATTTCTTTTATTCGCAACGCTATCAAATCTCTCTGTTATTAAGAATTAACACGCATTATGCTGACCGCAATCGCGGTGATATTAGTAGCGCTTTAATATCAAAGCCAGTCGAAAATCAACCTTCATCTATAAACATAAGGTATCTTTTGGAATTAAATCCATCGGTATGTATCATCCTATTCTGATGTATTTATATCCAAGCGAAAATGGACTTTAATGAAAGGTATTAAGTGTCAGTAGATTGATACCATCGAAGAGATTCAACCGATCATGAATTATCCACGGCCAGCGGTTTCTTTGTAGTCGGATGAAACTTCGTACGCTTTATTAGTTACTTTTTTTTTTAATTTGCCTCATTTTTTTTT